TGCTTTGATGTGTCCCCCAGCCAGGAGGCAGCAGGACAAAGTTTTGTTCTTTCCCACCTCTTATTCCTTGAAAGCTCTCTGCTCCCCTAGCAGCCTCGTACAACGTCCAGGCTCTCACTGATATTTGCAGAGGTACAATGGGGGGATCACTGTAAAAATACTAACACCTGGTGTTTTTCTGAGCCTGTGCAAAGTGTGCATCTCAGAGGGGAGAGTCCTCAGGGGAGACTGAAAGGCTCCGGGGTCTGAAGCTGCCTTGAGCATGGGCTGCCATGGAAGCCCTTGTTGTGTCCTCTGGCCCATCTTTCTGCTGCAGTTTATTGACTGCAGTTTTGTGAACCCATGAGTTACATTTGCAGCATTCTGAGGCCCAAAGTGTTCCTGTAAATACTCCATGTAATTAATTATAAACAAAGCAGCCAGCCAGGAGCACAATGCCCAGATAAATCCTTAGCAAGCCTCATTGTGTGCTCTTTACCTCTCCTCTGCATTTCTATCCATCCAAGAGCTTCAAAAGTGTAATCTCCAGAGGAATTAGCCTCTAACACACTCACCGGCAGTGTGAGGAATTTCCCAGGTATATTCAGACTAGAATCCCCACCCCTCATCTTTTGTATAAAACAGGATGTCTTTGGAATTCTTCTCACTGCAACAACAGCTTTTCTGGTAGAACTAAAAATGACAAAGGCAGCATCTCCCAAGGTGTTTCTGTAGAGCATGAAGACCACAGAGTGTTAATACCTCTCATAGGAGAAGGGCCTCTAGGTCAAAAATGTTGGGTAAATAATGAGCTGAACACACTTCTCTACTGCAGAACTTTCACCCTGTGACTTTCCAGGAAGCAGAGAAATTATGCTGTGCTTCCAGACTTTTTAGACTGTGGAGTTCTTTTTAGACTGACTGTGGAGTTCTTCCTTCTCAAAGCAACACATCCCAGAACATACAACTCTGTGTGTGTCATGCACCCCCTTGGCAGGCTGGGGAAGCTGGGGATCCCTTCTCAGAATAACGTTTTTAAGTGCAAAAAATAAAACACATAGGATTACAAAGGAAACCATTTGTAACAAAACCAAATATCACACTACTAAAAATATTTTGAAATATTTAAAAATGGGCATGCATTAATATATGTATTTCTTTTTTAATGGATCTAATAATTACAGGTGTTTCAAAGTACTCATGGCCATAAATGATATTTCAAGATAAGGTCATTCCTCATTATTCACAAATTCTATATCTGTGAATTCGCGTACTTGCTAAAATTTATCTGTAACCCCCAAATCAATACTCATGGCACTTTTGTGGTCATTTGAGCAGTGAGAAATTTCAGTCACCTGACCTGCACGTTCCCAGCTGAGGTTGAAAAAGGCAGCGCCCTGTAAAAAAAGGTGTCTTTTTCACGGTGTATTTACTGCCACATTTTGGGCATTCTTATGCTTTTTGTTGGTGACTTCACTGTTTAAAACGGTCTCTGAGTGCAGTGCTGAAGTGCCACCTTGTGTGCTTAAGTGCAGGAGACTGTGATGCGCCTTATGAAGAAAATAGATGGGTAGTTAAGCTTCATTTAGATGTGAGTTGTCGTGCTGTTGGCTGTGACTTCAACATTAATTAATCAACTATAAATTAAATAAGGTGTCTTTAAACAAAAACCACACATTAAAAAAAGATTGTATATTGATTGGTTGATGATAACGTTGTGACCAGAGGCTCACAGGAATGTAAGCCCATATTTCCGCTAGGCGCAGTGGTTCAGCATTTGCTAATTCAGTATTCAAGGTGACTATAGCACATAACTGCCCTGAGTAATGAGAATTGACTGTATCTGCAACAAATGTAATGTGATGTGAAAATATTTGTGACAGACAGCTATGAATACAGTTGCAAACATACAGTGTTTTGTAAAAAATACAGTGTTTTGTTGCCTACGTTCATAATTAAAGGGAATGGTGAATTTTACTTAGAGGGTAGTAAAGACAATTTTTCCTATTTATTCAAGTTCATAGGCACTCTTAATTCTGGAAGAGGGTGGTTCCCATAGATTACAGTTCAGAATCCCTTCTTTAGTGGGACTAACTCAGGAGAGGGTAAAGTGGGGTAGCTGGTGATAATTCCTGGGGGCTCCAGTCCCTGCTATGTTGTGGGTCAATACAAGTCTCAGATAAGATTTTTTAGCTGATTTGCTCTTGCTGGGGGATCTGAAATTTTCTTCCACCAGGTCCTGAACCCAAAAGGCTCTATGATAGAAGTTCTTGATAATTATTCATGTGGAAAATGAGGAGTCCCATTCCAATAGCAAAGGGTAAGAGGGGTCTTTAATCTGAAAACAGGAGAAACAAATGACAATATAGTATTGGGGCGTTTAGATGAAAATCATGTCTTCTGACCAAGGGTGCCCAGAAAGGAAAGCATCCCCTGTGTTGATTGCTTTTCTTTCTTAACCTTCACACCACAAGGAGTATGATTCAATGGGGCTAATTCAAATGTGTCAAAAAGAGGCTTCTTTTTTTCCCCTAAATAGCAAGATATAAGGAAGTGTGCCCTGGAGAGCAACTCTAATATTCATTCATTCATTCAATCAGTACTACTTACTGAGGACCTCTCATGGGCCAGGCGTTGTTGTAGGGCTGTTGATACAGGAGTGAACCTGACTGGCCTGGTTCACATCTCCTGGAGTTTCTGTTCAGGTTCTGGCTCTTCTCTCCAGGAGGCCAGTCCAGGAGCTGGGGAAGGGGATGGAGAGGGGTGCAAGCCACCCCAAGAAAGCCCTTCAGGTGCCTGTCAAAGGACAGCACTCATACACTATGATTCTGAAAAACTAGAGGCTGAAGACAGTAGCTCAAGGGGCACCAGTGCAGAAATACGGGATAGAAACTGTCCCCCATGGCTCTACCATAAATTCTGGACACTCAGATGCTATCAGAAGTATATACAACACCTTACAGGGACAGAATATCCCCAAGCCAGAGAGAAAGACATGGGTGAATCTCAAAGAAAGAACATGTCTGGATGGAAGTATAGAAAATGGAGGCAGAAGTGGACAGGCCTCACCCATGTGCTCCCAGTCCAAGGAAGTGGGCCTGGCCTGGGACTCCAGTTCTTGTGGATACAATGGTGATACCTAGTGTTTCGTGCAGCATTAGTGTTTTATAAAAAATTGAGATGGGAGCACCATCTTCTCCCACCCTTTGATTTCTTGGTGCTTTGCCCCAGGAATGAGGTCAGGGCTCAGAACCCAGGTACATCCATCTTCCCATCTGAACCTGTTCAGGTGGAGAATGAGGAAGATGGAACTGGTTAAATTATCCCCAAGGTGGGGGGTTCAGTCTTAAGAGAATTTAAGCAGGAAAAAGTGGCAGGGACAGAGATGACATCTAGGGTGGGAGACGGGAGGTGGTTGGGCTCGGGAGGTGGTCGGGCTCAAGAGGATCCATTCTGGGAACCCCCTCCCTGTACCTTCCAAATCTCCCTATACACTCCCTCTAGTTTCCCCCAACTTTTAAAATAACTCTATTCCTTCAGGGCCTTCTGGAAAAAGATCAGGGCCTAAAATGAATTCTCCGTCCCCCCAACAACATCAAAAGCAATACAAGATTGTTGACTTCACTAGTACTCGGAAATAAAAATTAGAATAGCAATAACTTGGAAGCATTTTAAACGGGGGGATTGAATAGAATTTTCTAAAGGAATACAAAATTTTAGTGCACTGTTCTCTGGGTATATTTTGAGACTGAATGATTAAGATTTCAGATTAAAAAAACAATAACAAAACTACACTACAACAAGTATTGGTATTTTAGTCCTTAGAAGTAAGATGGGATGTTGGAACACCAAAACCAGCAGGAGATGAATATACCAGGCATCCACAGCCCCACACCTCCACACCTCACACCTTCAATCTATACTCCGAGTTTGTATTTCCTGCTTGAAACAAGCAGCCTCCTGGGGGCTTGTTGGTCCTCTGTTGATCTGCCTCCTGGGGACATGTGCTGGTCATGCTGAGCCAAAGATTCTGCCCAGGTGACAGAAATTAATGGGTTCACAACATTTTAAGTGTGTTGGCCCCCGAAACTGAAGCTCACACAAATCTGGCCAGTTCATCTTGTGAGTAGAGGTGGATTTACCATAAGTCTAAGAAAGATTAAATTTTAGGGTTCCTTCCAAAGCCCTGGAAGGGGCCCCAACAATGAGTTCACATGGTCCTATGCTTTGTAAAATTTGCAAAAGTGAGATATTTTAAACACTATTGCTTCCTCTCTGTCACAGTTTCCCTTATATCCAGTGGCTCTGGAAAAGCCGTGGGAATTTTGGGGAAGTTGAAATGGAGATCTGTTTAGGCTGGATTTAGGTGGGACTATTTATGTGGTTAGCTGTCATTTCTGTGCACAGTTAAGGTACTGCTAGCCATCCTGGTGCAGGAAAGGGCTTCCAGGTATGCCCCTATTGTCCACTAGCACCGTGACAAAGGTTCAGGGCTAGCGGTCAGATCAGATCACAGTATGAGAGAGTGTCCTACAGCTCCCGGCACAGGAAGTGTGTGGATCGTGGGGGAGAAACAAGGTGTGAAATGCACAAAGCCAGAAGCTAGTCTGTGGTAAGGTCTTCCAATCATTGATACGATGAGTGGGAGATTTGGTTCATGCTGGTGCCTAGCCAAAATAGAAGTATTAATATCTTCCTATCAGGAATAAATAAATAAATTTAAAAATAATAAAATAATAAAGCATATACAATTATACACACACTGTCATTATAATTTTGTCTTTATTGAGACAAAGATTTGGGCGCCAGTGGTTTATTTGGGAAGCCATCCCCAAAAGTGGGAAAGCAGAAGTGAAGAGAGTGACACTAGGCTCTTAAATGGGAGAAAAGCACTTTGCAAAGATGCTGCTGAAGAGGGGCCTGAGAGTTTGTGACACAGCTGCTCCCATAACTGTTTCTTGAATGAGTTTACCCAAGTTTCTGCCTTCCTGAGCTCCCCAGGAGCAGGTGTCCCTGAGGACTTAGTGCCCCCCTTGGTCTCCAAACACCTGCTCAATCTGGGTGTTGAATGGATTCTCCTTTCCCAGGACCTGGGGCCACTGGAGCTGCACCTTCTTCCAGAAGCGATCTGCCAACAGCTGTAAAGCCACCTGCAAGAGAGAACCCAAAGGAGGAGTAAAAGGGAAATTAAAACAAAGTAAAGAAGTTACCAGCAAGATTTACTCTATTCCTTGTGCAGTGGACAGACTCTAGGATCGTTCCCCAGGATTCCTACCTTTGGGTCTTTGTATGATCCCCTTCCCTTGATGTGGATGGAACCTATCACTTGGTTCTAAGCAATAGAACATGGTAAAGGTGAAAGAATGTCCCTTCGGTGATTATGTTACATTATCTAAGGCTCTGCTTTGCTGGCAGACTTGCTCTGGAGACTCGCTGATGGGCTGATGATGTAAGAAGCCATGTTGGAAAGCCCACATGGCAGGAAGCAGAGGGTGGCCTCCAGCTGACATCTAGTAAGGAGTTGCGTCTTCAGTCCTACAACCACAAGGAGATAAATTCTGCTAACAACTCAAGTGAGTCTGAAATCAAATCTTCCCCAGTTGAGTCTCCTGGTGAGAATGTAGATTTTAGCCTCTGAGACTCTAAGTAGAGAACCCAATTAAACTATGCCAGCACTCCTGACCCACCGAAACTGTGAGACAAGAGTGTATTGTATTAAGCTGCTACATTTGTGGTAATTTGTTATTTAGTAACAGACAGCAAATACACTTTCTCAGAAAGGCATTTATTCACTTACCTGTGGATAGCTAACACTTACTGCAGGCTTAATGCTTGGGTTTTGGAGGTGAACAGGATGAATCCTTCCTTGAAGGAACTCCCAGTCTAGTGAGGGACCCAGACATGCAGAATGACACCACCAAACCCACAGGCAGGACTGTGAGGGATGCACACGGCTGGAAGGGGAAGAGGTGGCAACTCTGCTGGGTGTGAAGAAAGGATAGGTCCTCTCTGAAGAGTGTGGTGGCTGAGCTGAATTTTCAAGGAGGAATTCACCAGATGGATCATGAGGAAAGCAGTGTATGTGGTAGAGGACACAGCACATGCAAAAGCTTGGAGATGTGGAAGAGAAAGTCATGGAGGGGGAATACGGGTGCCTAGGAGATGAAGCCGAACCGGTCCCCTTGCCAGGCTGGGCTCCTGAAGGAGGCTGTGGGCACGGGAAGAGTGGTTGGAGTGCCAGGCTGTGGAATGTACAGGCTTAATTCGCAATAGGCTTGTCCCTCTGTCTCTTGGCCTGATGCCCACTCTCTGGTTGCATTGTTGTATGTCCCTTTATTCACAATGTCAGCAGGATCCATTCTTGGTTGTTCGATCCTCTGGCTTGTCATTAACATGCCTCTGATGAGGAGTCTTTCTCTGCAGATAATGCCCTCATTTAGCAAATGGGCCCTGGACAGGCCTTCACGCCCCAGATGGCTACATCTCCATGGGAGGGGTGTGTGTGGGGGTTAATGCTGACTGATAAGAGAAACGTGACTGCTGAAGGCCTCAGAGGGGAACACGTTGTTCAGGGCAGATGCTCAGGGATGTCCCTGCCTTTATACAGAAGCACATGGACATTGTCTTCAAAGGGCACATGCTGTTCATCATTCCAACAAGCAGCGCAGCCAGCTCCCTGTGTGATGCTGGCCAGCCCTCTTCAGCCTTCTGCTCTGGGCTGAAATTCTCTCATTTGCAAAATGAATAAATGATCTAAAGACTTTCCTGGGTCTAAATTGTGTGTAAGATTTTAGCAGTTGTTAGAAAAAAATAGAACTGCTTGAGTCGATACATTAAATATCCCCAGTATTTTAATATGTTCCTGAGCCTTCTGAGGTGGACCCCAAATTCCATCCATCCAACAATGCAATCTTGATCATATCCATGTGGTGTCTAACACACATACACACCCCACTTGCCACCAACACACACAACACGTACCACACACACACACACACACACACACACCTCTCAGACCTAAAGAGGCTGATTGTCAGGACAGCAGGTTTCCAGGAAGGGTCTGATCATCTCTCACACTATAAGCAGTCATGTCTTCAGAAACAGAGGACTGGTTTTGGGCTGTTTTTCCTGCCACTTCTCAACAAAGTAGGCTGCTTCCAAGTCTGTGGAAAATTACTGGTTCTTCTTTTTTGTTTTTTGCCTTTCACTTTGATATACCTAAGCAGTCTTCCTAACAATTATGTGGTACCAATTCATTTGTGGTCATTTATTTCCCAATGAGAATTAATAAAGGAGGAGACGGGAGTGAGGATAAGCAGAGGAAAGTTAAAATAAAAGGGCTGAGATCTGAGCATGTGGTAACTATTTGGTTTGAAAGCAATTAGTTGGCTGTCACTCTAATGGAGACTAAAATATTCATGTGTGAATTGCCAATATTTTGGATCTAAAATGAGAATGGTATTGTTACTACTAAACTAGATACTTGTGATAAAATGACCTACTATAATTATTCATTCGTCTGAGAAACATTTACTGAGCACCTATTGTGGGCTTCTTATAACCAACCTCCTCTTGTAACTCCCATGATGCTCTGCGCAGGGCAAGGCCCAGTCATCCTCATTACTCCAAGCGAGGTGTTCCTTGAACACAAATATCTTTTGTGCTTCCCTTTTCACAATTAAAAATGTTAAAGCAATATCTATTCATTTGGGAAAAAAATTAAAGGACAATTAAGCAAAAAGAAAAACAGAATAAAATTTATCTTAATTATAATAGAGATAGTCACTGTTAACATTGAGCCTTTCTGAGGCACACACACATGCACACACACATACATTTGATCCCTCTGTAAATATTTTATAATCTGCTCTTTTGGAGGTATAATTTACACACAGTAAAATGAACTCTTTTTGGTAAACAGTTCCATGAGTGTTGACAAATGCATTCAGTTGAGTAATCATCCCAACAATCTCTAATCTGCTTTTTATTTACTTTGCTCTATATTACAAACATATTCCTGTGCCACTAAAAGTAGATCTGTACCGTTTTTATTTGCGGCATGATATTCCATCAGATACGTGCAAGCTAATTTATTTCACCGATGCATTTTTTTCGCACACATCTCCCTAACATTTGTCCTCAGGACAGGGGTGGAGAGTTTCCTGTTGCCAGTGTGCCCAACATCTGCAGCCCAGGAGGGGTTCACAGGCTGCCTCATTTACTAACCCTACTAGACATGCGCACGGAAAGAAATCTGGTCCAGCAGAGCGCTAGGGAATGTGGAGTTCTGGTTAAGTGGAATATTCTGGTTAACAGGGTTAGGCCCTTCCTTGTCTCTTCCTTTGCAGTTGATTCAGCTGCCTGTGCTCTTGCAGGGCCCCAGCTGCAGAGTCCAGATGGTTGCCACATTGGCGGTGCAGCTTTTGTCTAGGTGCCACTCAGTTCTAGCAGGTGTGGCCCATCCTCTGGGTAAGTCCACATCCGATGGGCACTGGTGCTGTTCTGCAGGCATCCCTGCAGCTCCAGTGCTTCTGTGGGGCGTTGCCACCCACCCATCTGTCTACTGCTGCTACTCAGAAGCCCTCATGGTGGCAAAACCATGTGATGGTCATTGGTCCACTGTGAAGTTTTCTCTTTGAAACTCTCATAGAAGGGGTGACAAAGTAGGGCAACTTAACACCCCATTGTCTTATATAAGTTTCTGGTGAAGCAGCTTTTTCAGTTTTTACTTGCAGCCCCTGATCTCCCTAGGATTCAGGCATGAGTCCACAGAGAGGGGAGTTGGAGGGTAGGGACCTGGTGCCATTTCTTGATTCAGCCCTTGGTGACAGCCACCATATGGCTTCTAGAATTCCTCTCCCTTCTAATGACAATTTAAAATTGCGCCACGCTTCTTTGCCTAAACATATTTGTATTTATGATGAGTTCTTCGCCAGGAGAGTACCGGGTCCTCCAAGAAAATATACCATGTCAGATCCAGCCCACATGCTCATGATCTGCTCACATATCCAGCCATGATAGAAGCCCAGCAGTGGTCATAGCTGGACATCATCTGTGATTCCTCCACATTCCCACTTTGTAAGCTAACTGTATGTATTTTGCTACAAAAATGGAACTCTTTAGTAAGACAATCATAAAAACAAACCCTGAACAGTAACTACATTTTTGTAATCTTTTTAAAGAATAAATGCAATTCAGCGCAAGAGTATATAGATTTCACCAACAACTTATCATGACTGATACCTTTTAAGTTGAACTCTTGCTAAATTTAACTCTGGGCTTCTACCAGACCAAAGTAAAAAATCTACTGTGAATTTATTTTTCTTGAAGGGAGAACAATTCCAGGCTGTCTTGTAAGATTGCTTTTAAACACCTGCAGGGAAGCCCTCACCACAGGGAAGGCACAGTTTTACTTCTCTGGCCTCTTAATCTGTCCAGAAACACAGTCTATTGGAGCTGGTTACTTTTGGTCCCAATTAACTTTACATTTGTAAACTTACAACATGACAGTGGTGTAAGACGTATTTAAAAACATTTAAGGAAAAATGTTACGTTTCCAGCTCGAGCCTGTCTGTGCTGGTTCAGGGTGCCACGACCAAAACCACTGCTGCCAGTTGGTGTATAAAGCAAACTAAACAAACGTGGTCCCTGATGCATGGGAGGGCCAGCCTAAGTGACTGTTATTTGAGGGTTCCCTGGCCCAGGAGGCCCTGCCTCCTCTCTCTCCCCACTGCCAGCTTAACTGCCTTTTTTGAGGGGCTCCACCAGTCTGTCAAGGACCTTGGGCCCCAGGGGCTTACATGTTGAGACAAATAAAGACCTAGACACTGTTAACTTATTTAAAGCCAATCCACTGATTATATATATGATGTCTGCCACCAGCAGTGTATAAGGGTCACGGCTCAAGAAAGAAGAGGGGATTGATGTAATGGAAAATTCACTGCCTGTAGCAGGAGTTTTAAGAGGGTTGGTCTGAGTTGCTACTTCCATGAGGAGAGGAGAGGCGGCTGTTGTGCAGAGAGCTTTGTTGCGCGAAGCTTCTGAGGCAGGAGGTGTTAGGAATGTTTAGCCAGGTGGTCTCATCATAGCCAAGGAAAGCAGACTTGATGTATGTTCGTGGCTCTTTCAGCGTTTTCTGTTTACTATTGTC